AAATTCAAAAAGAAATGCAAATTCTATTTTATTTGATGTTTTATTCTTTCAAGAAATGAGTAAAATATGTTTAAATGCAGTCTGAAGAATTGATTTTTCAGTACTGGTTTCAAACAAATCATATGAATGTAACAATAGCTAAAAAAAAATTGCCACTAGCAAAATGCAACATAATTTCAAAATGAAAAGGTTAGGTTTATTCCTTAACCAATCTAGCAATTAAAATGAAACAACCTTATTTTAGAATGGAAAAATCATGTTCTTGATGAAATTGTTTCCCTACAAATGCCACATTACTGGACACACTGGACATGGATGTATTGTCATGAATATAAATACAGTGAATAAAAGTAATGCTGCAGATATACCACAAAAATAATCATACTAGATGAAAATGTATTATGTATTTTTAAAAAGTTAAGATTAATAAGCTAAACCAACATTCCAAAGGTGAAAATTGACTTTTATGATGAAGTTACAATGGACAAAGAGCGCATAGCTCACTGCATGTGTTCAAAATCATTACATAGTCAACTCTCCACAGATATATTTCAAAACATCAGCTGACTTCACCCAAAATATCTTTATTTCAGAGATCCAAAGCATACTTCCAGTACAAACAGCACTTTTAGCCTGAAACTTTAGTAAATAATTACATGGACAAGTTCAGGAACATGATATTTTAATTGATTTAACAGTTTTTAATTGTGCCCCTGGATCTCTTTGCAAAATGCCTTATCCAGATATCAAAAATTGTAATTTTTGTACTTCACAATAAATGAGAATGACACCAGATCGCAAACTAGATACTGTCCTGAATGCCTAACTTAAGCAAGCTCCCAGATCTTGGTTAGAATGTTTAGTTGGATGATGATCAAGTCTACAAAATACAAGACAGTTTCAGTCCATTCACTTCTTTGCTTCAGTTTTAACTTCTTCTTTGGCCTTTTCATCTTTCTTGTCTTTGTCCTTCACTTCTTCTTTCTTCCCCTCTTTCTTCTCAGCATCTCGGTTAGTAAGTTTGTTATTAATAAGATTGTGCAAAGCTACAATGGATCGTATAAGAGCTGCTAAATAAACTACCAACATTTGATCGTTTGTTTTGACATAAAGGGAACTTACAAAATTCCCATGACTGATATCTGGTAAAAGATTAAAAATATCCTGTAGCTGGTACACAATCTGGTGATTAATAGGAAGTTTTCCTTGCACAACCTGGAAAAAACAAACAAGACATTTCAGAAAAAATAGTAAAATTTTGATTTTTTTCATTGCATACACATTGTTTTATAGGTTTTAAATCAATAACATCTTGTATACATAAATATAAAATCAACTCGTACCTGAACAAGGTAATTTCGGATTTCCCGAATCTGAGAATGTAACCCTTTTAGGCCAAGCAACTGATTGGTTATTCTCTGTGAAAGAGTTCCAACAGTTGTGTCCTTAATGTCTCGAAGAAGGTGCTCCACACCAACTTCTTCTGCTTCTTCAGCACCAATCTCACTAGGTACATGTTCAAACGTCTTGGATGTTGGTGAACCATCCTAGATGCCCCAAAATAAAAACAAAAGTGTTACATTTTCTTTGTTGATCTAAAATTTAAAAATAATTGGTCCTTATCTGAACAAAGAGAAAAACAACTGTAGCAACTTACATCATGAACTTCCTCGACAGCACGATACGCTTCAGTAGGAAGTCCAAGGTCTTTTGGTTTTGCATCAATAATGACAAGAACTGAATTAGGACAGTACCGTCTAATCAATTCATTTATAGCTACATCATTCTGGTGAAGTTTGGGTCCTGTATGGTACCATCCAACTATCTTTTCTCGAGCTATAAGCATAACAAAAAATGTTACATGCCATAATAAAATAAGGAAGTTGTACTAAGAAATAAAACTTACCATTGACCTTCTTAAACATGCCATACATGTTTTCCAAATAATCATGGTCAAGGAACCATACAGACTTATCTTTGTCATCCTCATCAAAAGGGACTGCAAAAGTGCAAATCATGTTCACATTACAAGGTATTACACTTATATCTCTCCAATGTTCATTCTTGCGCCGAAAGAAATTATCTTTTAAAATAAAAAATAATCAATAATCGCATATAAGTGATACGTACTTACCTGCAAAACTATTTGAGACATCCAAAACACCTTTCGCTCGCCAACATCCTAATAAAACACCAACAACTCTTTTTTGATTACCAATTTTGCCCATACGGTTGAAATGATCAACTACGCTAAGCAAAACTAGTGGATGAACCACTACTTTGGATGTAATTACTTCCTGGGTAGGCATTTTTCATTAAAAACTTTGACGCATGAATCCACAAATTTCTCTTGTCTGTCTTGCTTTTGCACTTTGAGGTTAGGCACTACGAAGTTCAAAATGACTATCAATTTAAAAAGTTAGAGAAATCTAAGATCAGATTTCAATTACAGAAAATAAGTAGACTCTTCAATTATTTTTTTTATATTTCATAACTCGAACATAAAATAAATTTTAAAATGTATTTGAGCAATTTTCACTGTATGTCATAGATAATGCATATCTGAGTCGATCAGATGTCACATCAGAGAGTAGATGCTTACTCCGCTTCTGTTCCGCTTGCTCCCAAACAGCATGAACCATGGACCACTGTGAAGTGAAATGTGAACATCCATGAAAGAAAATGCATTTCATGATTTCAGCAGCAGCACAGGTCAGCGAAGCATTGCGGCTTAGTACAACACAACACGATTAACAAGAAAGCCTCAGTGGTTTACCCTTACGTCAGATTAACCAAAAAGTATCGGTGCATTCTCTTGTGTTTTGGAACGTCAGATTGGATGCAGGGACAAGGCGATGGATATTTTTTTAAGGAAACGCGTCATGCAAGATGTAAATGATAGTGTTTGTGGCTATTCAGTGCAGTGAGAGAATGAGATAGTGAATCAGTGGAGCTGATTTTAAAATGTTACAGTTTATTTCGCAGTTAAGATTGCACGAATGCGTTGTTGAGATCGGACATTTAGGGAAGCAAATTTCTTTTAATACGCAATGGCTTCGATTGAAACCACGAAGGTTAGTAGAGATAAGGCCTAGTGATAGCTAATTGACAAATCACATTAAAAAAATATTATTACCAAATGAAATTAGCAAACTCGTCGTTACAATGAGTAAACTGTAGACAACTACCTTGTTTTACTCTTGTATTATAATTAAAAATGGTTGATAGTATAGTTTGATTCGATTTATTGTACCCAAAATAAGTATTTAAGAAAATCATTGGGTCAAAGCAGATATAAATTGTACTATTAAAATATTCTTGATTCTAATTTCCACAAATACATAAAATTTAATGTTAACATTTGCTTGCTGAATATTGTGTGTAATTTATTCTATTTGTATCCAGAGATTTGACATTGCTTCCCTTTTTAACGTTTATCATTATGTTCATAGACTGATACTGAAGATATGAATGAACCCTTTCGCCGACAAGGTTCATTACGACGAGTGCTTCCATCACTTCCTAGTGGAGATTCCCAGTTAAGTATGTCTGCCAAAATGATTGACAGACCTGCAGTTTCTAGCCGTGTGAATCAGAATGCATATAAGCAATACCAACTTGAGTATGGCCTTATTTCTGAATAGTAAGTTGTAAATTGTTATTTTAAATTTATATATGTGTATTTTCCTTTTAATAATTCCAGTCTTTGTGTGTTATTTTCATACCGCATTTATTTCTGTTGCATAGTAAAATGTTGCAGAACCAAGATATTCCTGGAGTTTATGTGATTCCATCTGCCCATAGTTCTTTGTGTAAGTAAACTAACATATGCTTGTTTGTTAAAATTACTGAAAGTTGATAAAGCTCATGGAAATAAGTAAATTTTGTGTAATTTTCAATATAGCCATCACATTATTTATTCTACAGTCTTTCTCAAGAAAGTAAGGCTTGTGCTTGAACAAACTGTTTTCAAATACAATATGAGATATTGTACAAGTGTGCCTTCATACAATTTACCTCGATTCGTTTTCCATATTTTCATTCAACCTGCTACCTTTTTGTTTCATAGAACCTAATGAATGGAACTATGGGACTTTATTCATTTTTAATTTATATTATTTTGTATGGTTTAAAAATTGCTACTAGAAATTTAAACTGAACTAAATTAAATTTTTTGCAGTGTGGTATGGTGTGATTTTTGTTAGGCAAGGAATTTATCAAGGAGGTGTCTTCAGATTTAAAGTTTTAATTCCTGATGAATTTCCTGATGGTGGTTGTCCAGTAAGTATGTAACATGTACTGTTTCATTTTAATTTTTATGGAAGTCATATTCTTAAATGTGTTCTAATTGTAGAAAGTTGTGTTTGAGTCAAATATCTTCCATCCAATGATCCATGATGACTCTGGGGAACTAGATGTCAGGAATGGATTTCAAGAGTGGCAGAAAAATGTGAATCATATATGGCAAGTTCTACATTACTTGAGAAGAGCATTTTTTAAATTTGAGACCAAATCACCAGTGAATGAATTAGCATATGAATTGTAAGTATGAATTGATTGACTGTTCTTAATTTTGCAATGTGACATATTGTAAAAACAGGAGTTTTGAAATCCGTGGCTTGTAGGATTAATGGATTATGCTTTTGTGAATAATTTTGTTAAAATAATTTATTTAAACTGCAATTGAATATAACCTGGTGGCAGCTAATTACATAAATAAGATAATATAACTATCGTGCAAATTATATAATAATAAAGGTACAATGAAAGTAATGGTGTAATAATAATAATAATAATAATAATAATAATAATAATAATAATAACAATAATAATAATAATAGTATAAAAAACGACGGATTCTTAAAACATTAAGTTAAATTAAGAAAAAGAAACTTTATATTATGTAACTCTTTATTGAATGTTTGTACAATTAAGACCACACTGCACTGCACTGCACTGCACTTCACTTCACTATGACCCTTAAATCAGATCTTTTGTTATTTCTCTGCTTTACACTGCACAATTTAACACTTGTGCATAGCCTACTATTCTTAATTAAGTCTCTCATTTACTTAATAATACCCTGAATCAATTTTCTAAACTGTTGAATACTTCGATTAATGGGATCAAAGGATTTTGCAGGCAATCTATTCCATTCAGTTATCGTTCAATTTGTGAAAGAAAATTTCCCAACATCCATTCTCTGCGGTCTTAAATTTATTTTGTGCCTGTGATCCCCTCTACTGATGTATGTAGAAATACTTAGCCACCAATTAATGTCTTTCCAAGCTGGATGACCACTATAAGCTTTATTCAAAGCTCAGAGTCTTGCTACTAATCGCCTGTTTTTTAGTGATTCCCACCCTGCCATTTTCTTGTCTCTGAAAGTAAAATTAGATGCTCTAATCCTTTCCAAATTTTTCCACAGTATTATTTTGTGCACTGCAATGTATGTGACTCTTCCAGCTTAATTTACTATTGAAATGGATTCCTAGGTACTTGCACATGGAAACTCTCAGAATAATGTCATTATTTAAGTGGTAAATTGTTTCTCTGTAATTATGACCCGTGACAAAAGTGATGGATTTGCTTTTAGAGCTATTTATGGTGATTCTATTATTTTCCGCCCAGTAATATAACACATAAAGATCCCATTGTAGCATTTCTTCATCTTCTTTTGAATTCGTACTATGATATTGTGCAACCATGTGCAAATAGCCAAACATTTGAGATTGTTTGCTGGCAGGTCATTAACGAACGCTAGTTGACGAGGTTCAATGATACTCCCCTGGTATTCCTGACATTATGTATGCCCTTGTAAATTCTCTTAGAATTTGATGATCTGTTTTATGTAATGTACCGATTAATTGTGTGCTATGGAACTGTTTCAGATACACAACCAATCTTCAAGAGTTTCGAAAAAAAGCACAATTGTGTGTGAAGGAGAGCCAAGAAAGAGTATATGACCCCCCTCCTACTGATGATCCCCACTATATAGCATTTGAGCCGTATAATGAGGATATTCATGGCCCTGTGAGAGAATCTATTTTCAAACAGAAGGTAAGATGTAACTGTTATGTTATTCAATGTTATGAATATGATATTTAATGTAATAATTAAAATTTTGTTTTTTTCTTTCTATGCTCTAAAGAATATTGAAAAGGGACCATCTTCTGAGGTAAAGAAAGTGTCATATCATATTGGAACAAATTTGCCTCTTACCTTTTAGATTATTTTGAAATCATTATTTCTATGCATTAGTAGTACAGTAATTACAAATGATAGGAGATAACATGCTTTTGGTGGCAAATGATAGGAGATAACTTTGCATTTGATTTCTGCATGTGGAAATAGCCTTCCTGAATTAATTCATCGCATCTCTGATAGGTGAATGTTTGCCCCCACTTTCTTGGATATTGTTTTGTGGAAAATGCTAAGGCAGCAGTCAGAAAAACTGAATTGTGAGGCACCGAGCATGCTTAGGGGCAATGCAACATTATCGTCACTTATTGTGTCCTTGAACATTGGCAGTGACAGTAGGCAAAACATACAACCCCAGTTTCAGAAGGCTCCCAACTCCAGTCACAGTAGACAGATACTGATTGTCTCTCATCATCTTGAATGCAAAGACTGAGCTTTGCCACCAATGCTGATCTTTGCTTTGAGTCGAGTGTTATGCTTTGTCTAGTGTCATGTATATGTAGTGCCATGCTTCTAAACTACACTTTTTTGTTATCTTAAAACAATTAAACCTTCCCAAAGATTACATTTAACAGATGCTTATTTGAAGGCATTTTTTTAATGTGGCATACTGTGACCATGGATGGAGTTGGTAGCAGATGTAAAAACTAACCTAAAATAAATATAAGAATTTTTTAAATTGTGAATGAGAAATTCAGCAAAATGTAATACATTTCAAGTTTGGATTTACACTCATCATGAAATTTTGAGATTTAGACAATTGTCCTGTATCTTCTTTCCAGTATTTCCTCAATCGCTATTGAGGTTTTCCTGGTCTGTCCACATCTTCTTCGCTCTCCATGGTTCTCTTCTTTCCCGTGGCTTGTATCTCATTGCTATTTTTGGGTATCTGTTTTTGTTCTTTTCGTGTGTTTATGCCATTTTACTTGGTACTTCTCTTTTTTCTGGGCTATGTTATTTATTTTAAGTCTTTTTCTCATGAGTTCATTTCTTACCCTAACTTTCCTTGAGATTTTTAATACTGTTCTTAGGTATTTCATTTGGGCTGCTTCAATCCTTTGCTTGTCTCTTTGTCTTAATACCGAAGTTTCACTACCATTTAATAGGGTTGGTACAATGTTATACAGTCTAATTTTTGTGTCTGAATTCATGTTTTGAAATTGTCTTTTGATGCATCCATTAATTTTGTTGTATTTGGCCAATTTTGTATCTGTGCCTGCCTCTTGTAATGAAATTTTGTTTCCCAGGTATGTGAAAGTGGCTACTTGTCTATAATTTGATTATCTATTACTATTTCTATTCGCCTGTATGTATTGCCTATTATTCCCATTGCTTTAGTTTTTGTGGCTGATATTTTCATTTTGTATTCTTTAAGATTGTGTTTAATTTGTGTTCCTTTTTGTAAGTCATCCTCTGATTTTGTCAGGATTACCTCCTTCCATCGTTTGATTATATGATTCATATATATGTTAAACAATAGTGGCAACAGTGTGCAGGCGAGTCGTAGTCCAGTTTGTTGGGATTTCTTCTGTGCTTTTAGCATCAGTATTCTGGATTTTGATGTTTGATTCCTTATAAAAACTTCTTATTGCATTTGTTAGATGTTCCTCTATGTTTTCCTCTTCAAGCATTTTCCTATTTTGACTCTTATCACAAGGTTTTTTACTGTGAAGTGTAGGTACATTGGAATGTTTCATTCGCTTCTGTTGTGTATTATCTGGTCTACAGTGAAAAGTGTGTCTATGGTTATCGATGGTTATCTATGGTATCTATGGTTATCTATGGTTATATATAGTAATTTAAGTAAAATTATGTTAAATACAATTCTCAAAAAAGTAGTTAATGTATCTGATGTAGTGCATGTATGAAGAGTATCCATTGAAAAAATATCTTCTAAAATAGTGGTGCATGATCAAGCTTTTGTTGACTGATTGTAAATAGTATTTCAAATTATCAAAGTATTTTGTGTATGCCTGTAAGTAAACAAGTCTGGTTTGCCAGTGTCATATTCTGTTTAAGGATTGTTAAGTTCAATTGTTTTTGAAGAGCCTAAAATTCTTGAGCTTTGGGGGTGCATGTTTCTGGGTTTGGCACATAGAAATTGCTTACAACACAGCTTTCCGTAGAAGGCCAATGTTCTGAATTTTAAAATTATATCTATGTCTCTAACTGTAAATGTGCTATATTTGCCTTTTGGCAAATTAAAGAGGCCTTAAAAACATTTGTTTTTGTCACTACTGATAAAAGTACTATTTTTTATGCCTGATACTTGGTTTTAACACTCTTATTTTCTAGCAACACAATTAACCATTTAAACTTAGATTTCTTAACACTTCCTAATTTTTTCATGAACTTTGATCACTAAAAAAATAGTAAAATTTGATTCATAAAATCGGTTCATAGTCCAGAAAATTTACCTGTTTCCCCCTTTCATTTTATTATATTTCAATAAGCCAAATACTTTTTTAATATTAAGATTAGTTAAGATTAGAGAGTTAGTTTACTCTATTATAATACATGTGTAAAAAAGTAATGTGTGTATCTTTATATACATGGATAACATCTCTCAATTAATAGTAATACTAATTTGAAGAAATTTCTTCATAAGTAGGCTGAAGGTGGTTTCAAAACGTTATCTTTTGAAGTTTCTTGCTTTATAATTTGCCTCAGACCAAGAGAAAGAAACATTTTTGTAAGCTTTGAATTACTTCACTTTGGGATGTTTGTAATAGAAGGCAAATAACTAATAGGATAAGTGAGCTGATTATGTGTAGCATTTAATCATTAATTAACATAAGTATTTTTTTGGCTAAATTCCCTCATGCAATTTAAGTTGTGATAACAATGCTTAGAAAATGGAAAAGTGTATAAAGTACGTTCAAAATATGTTTGTCTTTAGGAAGAAGATGGTGGTTCTGTGGGTCCGTCCTGGGTGCAGCCTGGCTCTCTCCAGCCATTTTCAAAGCCAGATTCTTGATGCTTACCAACTGTAGGAGCTTCAAAGAGAATGAAGCTTGCTTGTTAAAAGTCTTTCTGCTGGTGTCAAGATTCATAAGTCAGTGTACTTGTGAAATTAACTTGTTAATAAGCCAGTTAATCCGTTAGTGTTAAAAGATCGTACAATCAGACTTGTCAAAGACTTCCAGGGCAGTGGCACAAGCAATATTTTTATACTTGTCAACTTTTTTTGCACTGTCAGTATTAATGTATAGAACAATCTGTAATTTATTTATGATACTGTAAATATGTTTGTTGGCTTGGCCAAGTATACTGCAACAGTGAAAATTTTGATGGTATGCTTTTACCTCTAAGTAAAGTGTTTCTATACTGCTCTTCCTTTCTTACACTCCAGATTAGAAGAATGTTTGACATATTCTGCCTGTGTGGTAGGGAAAAATCTCATCTGTCATGTGCCATATTTTTAAAAATTGTATTGATTATAGATGTAACTTACAAGCATGTTTTCTGGTAATAGAAAAATATTAGGCTTTGCAGGATAACTTCTCAATTTAATTTTAAATTTATTTTCTCTGAATCACTGCATAAAATTTTGTAACAATATTTATGCAACATAAAAACTGTAACAATTTTTAGACTTTTGAAAACTATTTGGTTTTTGTATTGTATATTCTTCTAAGCTGGATAATTGGGTAATGGACAAGGTCTTCATTTTCATGAATGATTTAGTGGACAAATTGTTGAACAATTGGTGCTATATTTTCAAAGCGTGTGAGGAATTGTAGTTTTGTCAGATAGTTCAGTCAAATGTATAGCACCATATTGGCAAGAATTGTTGTGCTGGTGCAATGTAAATTTTATTTTTACTTTGGTAGTTTAACTTGAAGTGCAAGATATTTAAACAATGTAAAAATACAGTTTAAGAAAACATTTATTGTTAAAAATTATTTTACAAATAAGTCTTTGCAACAGTTTTTCTCCTTTTCATTACACTAAAAATGTAACTTCAAATCTGAAAAAATTAAAGAATTTTAAATATTTTTTTTTCCATTTCTGTCCGTCTTAACTGAAACACTAAACAAAGGTATCAATCGGTAACAAACTGTATTCAACAAAAATTGTCATGCAAATATATTAAAATAATGTAATCAACGGCTGTTTACATTAACATGTTTTTTTCCACTAGCTTCATAAAACCATTCAGGTGACAACTCGTAAGTAACACCTTGCCAAGTAAAATGTGTTGGACTTTCATGCTCACCATCACGAAATTGGAAGAACTGACTAAATTCAATGGCCAACTTTGATCTTACTAAACCTACAGAGCCAACAATTTCAGGTGCAGGGTGATAAACTCTCCCTGATTCTGGAGACATAAAAATTTTCTCAGGCATGAATTTCACATTCAGTAAATCCCCAGCATGATTGTAACAAAATATGTCATGCCCTTCGGAGTCTTTCTTTACATGAGTAAAGACAATAGGGTAATCATCACATCGCACAAAGTTGCGCTCTCGACCACAAATCGACAAGTAGGGGAAATCTTTCTGATATCTGTCTGTGGTATTCAGTCTTAACCTCTTGAAGAAAAATTCCAGGAACACTTTGTCTGCACAAAAAAACAAAACCAAATGTTGGAAAAAATTACAAAGCTCCCATTTATCATGAAAATACAAATGTGCAGTACCTTTAAAGCATGATGTGAAATTTTTCATTCGGGAGTCATCCAAAAATAGCTGAAACATTCATATGTATAAAGCAAGGTAAATAAATAATATTTGATTAGAAAGGAAAAATTAACAAGTTTTACCATTCCTTGATGATCTATGAAATAAAAATATTCTCTTATTCCAATTTGTGGAGACTGTCCCTGCTCATAACTAACGTTTCTCAACGACGTACGAGCATTTAGAGTGCTAGAGAGGATTTTGCAGTTTTGGCGATGCAGAAATTTCAACATATCGTCTTTGTTTAGCTACCACAGGGAGAAGTTATGAACCCTCTGACGAAATATTTCGTTTTTACCAATTTACAAGTGTCACATTGTAGAACTGGAGGCAGAAACTGTTAAAAAAACACAATTAAAAAATACAATTAACATATTCAGTGACTATTTTTATACGTGATCAGCTGACCGAAACTGATGATGACAGGTGCATGCCATTCTCATCTCCATGCTCACCTCCCACTTGCTGCACGTACGCCCTGCGACCCTGACCCTGCCGATGACTTTTCGCGAACCCAGCGCGAACATATGTCGTGCGTATTTTGTTCTCATGGCGGGAGTGCATGAACACGCGTGAGATGTTTCAAAATCTGACCATCCGTCATCATTTGCATAAAGGCCCCAGAGTGATCGGCCTTTAATTAAATATAGTAAATAAATCTGCAGTTTCATAACCAGTCATCCTATCCAAAAAGGAATAAACAATGTGAAAAGTAATAATACTGAATAATAATTATATTTTGATAAAATTCTTTACCTGTTGTCACTAAAGATATTAAGAAATATTGGAGCCGAATATTTATTCAAACAATGCATAACCCCAAACAACTATTCGTGTCACTTCTAAAATAAAATGTATGACATCACAAAATATACTTGAGAGCAACAATCAAAACGCAAAATTAATTATTACCTTTTAAGTTGACATCTGAAATTTTAAGGCTTGTCATAAATATATGTTATTTTGTTACTGTTATTTGCCAGTAAAGACTTCCTAATAGTTTTTCAATCGAAACATACTTATTTATGAATTTCATTGCATGAAATATCTTTTGCATAATTTACGTATCAAAGTCATCAATCTGTATACAATACTGGATGGACCAAAGTATCGAAGTTGAACTTGAAGCGCTCCACGATCACTGATCTGTACTTGTAATGGACGGCTCTTTTCGTAACAGTTCTCGAGATACCTTGTAGATGGCGCAGGTATTCACTGTGGAAGGTTGAACTTACCGACTACCCACAGATGGAATTGTATGTCAAGGTAGAAGGAACAAGTTGATGAAGTTGATCGAAGTTGATGTACTATATAAGTGTATTCGTAAGCGATACATTTGGCGTTATTTCAGAGTAAACACTACGTAAATGTTACTATCAACAGTTGAGCCCGTGCGCCGCCTTGCATGGGACCTCCCTATTCCCAATGCAGGGTAGAAAATGATGTACGAACTGTGTATCCATGGATTTGCATTGTGTGGTGTGGCTGAAATGTTCGATTTAGAAGTTTTCTGTGGATTCTCAAAGTGAAAAACGAAACATTAAAAATGGCATCATCACTTAAACGTTCGTGGAGACTTCGTAAGTTATAATTCTGTATATTTTGAAAGTCTCAGTGTTGATATTAGGAATGTTTGCAGTAGGGTTATGTTTTATAATAGTCATGTTTCTTAAAAATGTATTGTGTTTGATATTTGTAGAAGATTTCGTAGCCCACAGTTCAAACGTGAACTGTGTGGCCCTTGGCCATAAAAGTGGGAGAGTTCTGGTGACAGGTGGTGATGACAAAAAAGTGAATTTATGGGCTGTTGGGAAAGTAAATTGTATTATGGTAAGAATGTGTGATATCAATGCCAATAACTCTCCTTGCTAATGTGTGTATACAATTGTTCTAGATCCATCATTAATTTTGTATTGTTGGTTATAGAGTTTGAGTGGTCACACTACACCTGTAGAATGTGTGCAATTTGGTTACACTGAAGAGTTTTTATGTGCTGGATCTCAAGCTGGTGCTTTAAAAATATGGGATTTGGAAGCTGCCAAAATAGTGCGAACTTTAACAGGTCACAAGGGAAGCATTCGTTGCATTGATTTTCATCCGTACGGGGATTTTCTCACTTCTGGTTCTTTGGATACTGCAGTAAAGGTATATTTCCTTATAAGCCATTTTCTAATTAATTTAACAAATTTTGAAGATGTGCAGAGTGTTTTTTTGAATGTTTTCATGTTATCAGCAATAATCATGTTGCATTAAGCACAAGTCAGTTAAACTTAATGCAATTCATTGAAAAGGTATCACTGAAATTAGTATTAGACTTATTGAATGTGTATTGAAGTTAGGTAGATGTCGAGTATCTCAAAGGATCGAATGTGGACTTCAGTTGAAATTGAGCTTGTAGCTAGAGATTGAGATGTCAGGAAAAGATCTATTTCAAATGTTTTATGATCAGTTCTTAGTGGTCTTTTTGTAGATACTTAAGTTAAGTAAACTAATTTTTCATTTGCAGGGGGGGGAAATCCATGAATATAATATTTCAAGATCTTCCACTTCTATTGAGATAAAGAAAATAACAAAATTTCTTAACTGGGGAAAGGTGTTGAATGGAAAAGTCTATTGTTCAATCTCAAATATTATTGTGGGAAAAGTTCACTTATCTAGCTCTTCCTAAAGAATTCTGGCTTCAACCCTACTTGAAATAATAGGGATTCTAGTAGTTTAACTTCTGTGTTTTGTCATTTGCAAATGGCTTGTGACACAATAAGGGGATGGATGAACTTGGTGAAAAAAAAATTCTTATGAGCACAGGATATGTTAATTTTGTATCTGTATATAATTAAATTAAAATGGGTTTAATCAGGGCCGCCCAGCGAAAACCAGGGGCCTGGGGTAGTTGATCCATGGGAGCCCCTTATTTCAAATAAAAAATTCCCCCCTCCCTTAACTCTTAAACAGAATTCATTTCTCCATGCATCAGAAATAACTTACAGCGTTAATTCTGGATTAGAGATGAATGCAGTTAAATGTAATGGATTGTTTCAGCTTTGGGATATTCGCAGAAAGGGGTGCATTTTTACATACCCAGGCCATAAGATGGCAGTGAACAGTGTAAAGTTCAGCCCAGATGGTCAGTGGATTGCTTCTGGTGGTGAGGAAGGGCTTATAAAGGTAATTACTTTTGATTTGGTTTTGTACACTCAACTACACACAAATGCCTGCCTTTATCTTTATCATAAAATTTCAATGTGTATGATATTTGGTTTACGTGGAAATAAATTGAACTTCTATATTTCATCTAACACTTTTGGTAGTATTTTAATTTCTTTGTATGAAGACATTCCTGGAATCCAAAGTAAATCTGTAGGAATATGTGGTACCATTGTTGAAAAGAGTGAAGATTTTTATTTTCAACAGACAGTTGCCCAATAAGTGCTAGTTTCATCGATTGGAGGTTCCAATGCAATGAGAGTGCATGTTGTAATATCAGGTAGTAGAGGAGAAATGTTACCTCTGTCTCTTAGTAAGGAGAGCTATATTTTAGAATAACCAGTTCTATATTTTAGAATAAGATTGTTATACACTAGAGAAAAGAAGACTGCATCAAGCTTTACTGTGCCAAGCATATCCCAGAATGTTTTTGCTATTAGAGATGTTAGTACTGGTTGAGTAGTATTAACCCTCGCATTTCTTTGATGTTGTGTGTTTTTCATCAGTTGTGAACACTAAGTATTGTGCCAGTATGAATTGTTATGAAGAATATTTTAAACCAAATGATAGAGCAAATGGAAGTCAATTGTGTAAAATTGGAATGATGAATGAAGACACTTTACCATTGCTGCCAAAAACATATTCAGATGTAAGAATATACCTAGAACATAGCAAGAAATCATACCATATACTTATTAGCAGTGGCTTAAAATAAAGATGTGGACTACTATTCACTTTTGTGAACTGTATTCAGACAATTTAGGAGAATGACCCCCATCTCAAAGAATTCTGACTTGTACTGATTCAGTTGATTCACAGACTGAAGAAAATGAACTGAAGTGGTCCCTTGTATTATTTACTGGCAATGAATTTGGATTTTTTCTTCTCTTATGTAACGCCACATACAGACGTGACTGTCTTTGACATAAATAAATAACCACATAAGAATATTCATTTGGAACAAGAAGGGAAAGGAATAAATCGGGGAATATTATTAAATAAAGGAAATGAATTATTACAATGCTGTGCAGTTTATTCACCAATTGTAGAAATGGAGGAAGATACACAGCAACATTTGAAGGAGCTAAGATAAGTCTGAACCACCACATGAAATTTGCTTATTGCAGAACTAAAAAGACAACTGTACTAAACAGATGGGAAGTAAAATTGATTAGTTGGGAAATAGACAAATGGAAAACAATAAAAATATTCCACCACTGAATATTTCAGATCAATCATAAGATATAAAGAAGACATTACAGATCTACAATTGAATGTGTTGTACACAATCAAGGAACATAACTGAACAGACATGGATGCAAAGACAGAACTGAAATTTACATATTTCTGCAAAATTACAATTAGTGTATAGCTGAACAATGAACGCAAGAGGCACAAAGACTAGAAATAGCATTCATGAGATTCCTAAGACACTTGCAGATAAGTTCTGGAAGATTTGTTCATGACAGGTCTGTTTGCAATACAGTGAATGATTAATGGTAAATCACTTTTGTTATACTTCTCGCTCCATATGTAAAATGAAGTTTTTATTGATGAAATTAAATCAAATCAAATCTAACCCATTTTAGCCATCGCAAATTTCACATTGACCGGAAATTGAACCCCTGTTCCTAGAGTGGAAGTTCAACTATTTTACTCCTAAAACACTGGTCACCCCTATTTCTCACTCGTCATCAATATTTTATTAATTAATGTTAATATTAAGTGTTATAAAAAATGTATGAATTTTGTAACACTTTTGAACATGGAATTGTGTACTTTGTTTTAGAAATTAGATTTGACTGTATTTCCTGCTGACAACTTTAACCATTTCACTTAATTTTTAAGTTTCTAGACCTTGAAATTATTTCAATTATTCATGTATTTTGGGTTATATTTCTGTTAGCTTTGGGATCTACGTGCTGGGCGACTTCTGAAAGAATTCTCGGAACACACTGGAGCTGTCACTACAGTGAAGTTCCACCCTAATGAATTTCTCCTGGCCTCAGCTAGTGCAGATCGATCTGTAAATTTCTGGGATCTTGAGAATTTCTCACTTGTTTCCACTTCAGAGAAGGATGTGGGTACTATTCGGTAAGTGTATTTTATGAATTATGGAGGTTGAACCTACAAAATTCAGACAAATTATTTTTTTTAATATAAGGAATTTTGGTGTGCCAATTCGGCCAGTTGTTGTAGTGGTTAAGTTCAGTACTTCCAATATTATTAACTGATGCATACTCCTTACCAAAAAAACAAAGAAAAGAAATAATCATGTACTTGGGATTCAATTAAATGCTTAATTCTATAACTACATAGCAAAGTTCTGCTTGGGATAATTGTGGGGAAGTGAAATTATTGGTGCAAGGTCAGTGTGATGGAAAATTAAGAATTAATGTTACTAATCCACCCCAATATCAGTAAATTTGTTTTGCTCCACAATTTGAATTTTGGAATGCTTATTTCAAAATACAGTCACATTACCTACTCATAAAGGTTGAGGTATTGCTTTTATGTTTATCAGTGGTTTATTTATCTTCTATTTTGGAATATTGGACAGTGTAGCAGTTTTTTGTATTTTTCCAGTTGCATCACTTACAGCCCAGATGGAGAGTGCCTGTTCTCTGGGTCGCAGGATTTGCTGAAAGTTCATGGATGGGAGCCGGCTCGCACTTTTGACACACTCCCTATGTCGTGGGGTAAAGTGCAAGATGTAGCGTGTGCTCACAAGCAGTTGATTGGGGCTTCCTGTCACATAACAAACGTGGCTCTGCATGTAGTCGACCTAAGCAAAGTGCAGCCATTTGGTGGAGCACCAACCCCATCACCCTTCCTTTCTGGACAGAGCATACGCAAAAGCTTCAGCAGAGACAAGCCATTCAATGTGGCCAAAGCCACGTGAGTTACTTGTGCAATATTTTTATGTATTTATATTGTCATTCTGGAGCATCTTGAATGGCAATTTCCAATTGATGTTCTAATGTGCACTTGGGATGCACCTAGGGTATCTTTCATATTCCATTTGACTACTAGGGCAGTGCAATGCAAAGAAGCTCCTATTCCATTCATACATTGACACAGAACCAGGGCACACTATCTGTTCCTAGAACCTTGTCAGTGCCAGTGCCACTAGGCCACTCAACCAGTTCTTTTTGAGGTTGAAATTGAAAATTTGAATTTCCTGCACTTATTTTGGTAGAACCATTCACGAGTTATTTAATTAGTAACTGGTAATTTAATTTCTTAATTGGCAATAGTTTATTTATCATATTTATGTATTTTTTCAATTTAATTTATTAACACTTCTATACAAATAATTTTTCAATTATGTGCTGAGGAAATACATCCACTGTGCGAACGTGTTACAACACAGTCATTACGATTCACAAAATAATTTCAGTGCTTATTATAAACTCAAAATAAAATAAAACAAAAACAAAAATTTAATATCAATGGAGTACAATAAATTAAGTATAATAATGACAGAATAAGCGAAATAAAAATTAACTTAAAGGCATTAAAATTGATGTGACAAAATCCATATTGAGATTTATCAGGAATTCTTATTTTTGTATTGTTGACATTTGGATTATGATTCATCATTTTGATTTCAACATTCAGTAAGTTAAATATGCTGTAAGTGACAAACAAGATTTCTTCTACTGATTTCTTTTTTAACAGTGGGTGGTACTGTAAGTGCTACTCTCTTATCATGCAAATAATTAAATTTTTGACTAAGGGCAGAAAGGATATTTAGAAGGGATTTTTTCAAAAATAAATTCCTAATTGATAACATTTTATAGTTTTTAAAAAGCTCATCAAATTAATATAATCTATTTTACCTTTCAATCAACTTAAGAATTCTCTTCTGAACATCCTGAAAAGTATTCAAGGTAGGTGCCTCACCACGCTATTATTGCGAATATAGCTATTGCCCAAAACTGTTCCCAAATATTGATGGGATTCCATTCTCTTTATACCAGGACAAATACTCATTACAGAATCATTGCATGTAATAGTGTCATTTTAACTCTATATTTCTCGGTAAACTATCAATATTGCTGCTATACGACTCAAATACAGTTTTAGCTATATTCAAGCTTAAGGTATTTCGCAATAGCACACAGCTTCAGTTGTGCCAAGTTTTGTGCATACAACCATGAATTACCTTCAACCATCACAATAGTATCATCTGCAAAGGATACAATTTCACCTTTTTACCTATATTTGGACCTACATCAGCAAAATACTTCTTAAAGTGATTATGCATATTCCATTATCATGTTTATTATAATATTATGGTGATGATATTATTAGAAGGTATTTAATAAAATCTTTCACGTGTCTTTGTCATACAATGGGAGCATTGTGACATGGAGATTGAAATGCTCAGAATAACTTCCCATTGTTTGTTACTAATGTGGATGGTTTTGTCCAAAGTAGTGCATTTGTGGAACGTAAATGAATGTTCTTTTTGAAGACCAACAGTATAACAAACAGTAATTGTGAGGAAAAGCAAAAGTTTCTGTGTTACAAGTGTGCAAAAATGGTATTTTTTTATCTTATATATAATGTACATTGTAAGAGTTATTTCATAGTAACAGGATGATTAAAGTAAAAAAGTGAATTTCACACTATATTGGAAAATGATGTCAGTTTAAAAATTACAAGATTTGTATATTGTTTTATTGTATTTTATGGTACTTCCCTACTGTATATCAATTGCAAACTCAAACGAAGAAGCAATGAAAATAACTAAAATCTAAACATTAGCATGTTATAAAATAAGAAAAATTAAATCTTAATAGTTTTACCTTACACGGTAGAGAATTTGACTCCAAAACCTGATTTTTAAGGAGAAAATGTAAATTTTATAGCATTCTCAACTTTGGAGAATGATTTTCTTTTAAATATTGTTGCACTTAACACAAGTATTTATGTAGTGATGACTGCAGTTTTAGTATTTTTTGGTGTAATGAATGGAAAACCTTGTGTTCTCCCTTTTCCATTGTGACAAAACCTTATATTAAATCATTGCTGTGAAGAAAATTTGAGGAGAAATCTCTCTTTAAAATAAAAAATAAAACTTTACAAAGGCTTGTTGTTTTTGTTTTCAATTTTTTTTAACATTATTATTATTATTATTATTATTATTATTAAATTGTGATTGTGATCTAAATGTTTTTCTTGCTTTCCTTTAGATTGGATGTGAAGACAATTGAAGAAGCTGATAGATCAGGCACTGATCCAGAAGATGAACCTCAGTCATTCAGCACTGATATTCCAAATGTTGGAGACTACCAAGCAATTTTTCAACCAAATCGAAAACGTAAGCCATTCTTATGTTCTAGTCTATTAAGATAAAAATAACATTTAAATCTCTGAACATTTTTTCTACTGGGTCCAACAGATCTTTCAGAAGTGTTGTATTTATCTGATTGTAAATTGATTGAATAATGTAACATGAACCCCAAGTTTTGATGAGGGGACTGTTCTAACGTTAAGTCAAAATAACATTAAAAAATGTGTTATTGGCTTGAAAGGTGTCTTGTTAAGAGAGTTAGATCATTTGTGTTACGCTATTTTATTCTTCCTCATCTTTATCATCAATGTTTTGGTCACTATCTGTTTCTTCATTGTTTCTTTCTTTCTAATTCACTTCCTATACTAGATCACTTACACTTCATATACTAGATCATAATAGTTTTTTTCTTTTGCCGATATGGGGTATGGCCCTGGTAATGAAAATGTGGATAAATCCTGTTACAAAATTTAGGGAGGGAAAACCTCTTAACATGAGATGTAGCCAGAATCTATGTCCTGTGGGTCCTTGATACCGAAAAATTGAGTACAGCAAAAGTCTGTCTGTTCATCTGTGAACAATGCTAGCGACTAAACCATTCACCGGATTTGGACGTTTAAAAAATATGGCTCCATAATTTTTTATTAAATTTTGTTGTTGGGTAATGTGAAGGACATTTAAGAAAATGGTTTAGATCTCATGATTGTTAAAAACCCTGATTTTTTGAAAATTGCAAAAGTTTAAAACTTTTTTTGTAGTCTTCCTACAACTAAAATATTAAAGATAGTTTTTTTCCTTAAATGAATTCTGTTCCTTAAAGATATATTTTCAAATAAGGTTGTGTATAATTTTTTTAAAATTTGAGTACTTCTCGTGTGAAAATGCAGATGAGAAAACCTGTCCTGTTTTAGCATCACTAGTTCTTTGTCTGGTGAATTTTTTTCCTACATCACTGATATTTGTGGTGTCCACTTCTGTAACAACTATTAACTTGAAATTCACATTATTTAATGTCTGCATGTTAGTTGTGAACTGCAAACTCATAGATCCCTATAGCTCAATAAAATCTTGACCATAAACTTACCGTATTTACCCGAGTATAAGATGACTCTTATATTTACGATGAGTCATGTTTTTACACCTTGAAATTTGGGGAAAAATACACCCCGATATAAGATGACCTTTGTTTTTATAACTTGGTATCAATTTCCTACTAGGTAATGAAATTTTTAAGAAAATGTATATTACTTACATGTTTATTAACATTATGCGTAAATTATTTTGTGCTCATCAATATTTTGTACAGAACATGAATTAAACTTCAATTTTACCACATCCATTTCATCATTTAATCATATCTCAATTATCATCTTCACTTGTTTCATCGTCACTCATATTATGTCCATCATTCTCACACCATAACACATCATTTTCTGTGCCATCCAGACTGTTGCTTATACAGCACTTTTTGAAACCTTTTATTATGCATTAAGTTGATATAGTATTCCATGCAGTTAGAATCCACTGAACAAGCTGTCCAACTGAAGGTTTTTGGTGTCAATAGTTATTGGGCAGTTCCCTGATAACAGCCACTCCTCATACTGGCATCTGAGTTCGTACTTGAAAAATTTGTTCAGTCACATCAAGAACCTGCAACTGTGAGGTCATGCCTCGTGGAATCACTACTAAGTCTGTTTTTAAACTTACTTTTTTCTCTTCTGCAAGGTGGCTCCTAAAGGCATCAAGGGTTAACAATCCTCTCTGCTGTAATAGAGCTCCCAGTAACTTCTTGAAGCCAAAAAATCATTAAGCTTTCAGTCATCCACCCAGATTCATTGCATTTAAAAATTATTCCACTGGGTAGTTTTTCTTTGGGCAAATTCTTCCTTTCCAAGATAACAAATGGTGGTAGCTTCCTGACATCTCCCAACACTCCCAGCATGACCGTAAAATGCATTTTTTCATTTCCAGACGTTTTTATCATAATTGAATTTACACCCTTTTGTAGCCACTGTGTTGTTAGAAGGCATGTAAAAGTACACGGGGGTCTCATTAGCATTCCCCATTTGACTCAACAAATGGTTGTGTTGATGGCGCAATTGTATAATGTACTTTTGGTACTCCAGAAGTTTTTCTTCGTAATCTGCAGGCAGCTTTTGCGATAGGGAAATTCTTCTACGCAGACTGAACCCTTTCCGTCTCATAAATCGCATGCCCCAGCCAACACTCACATTGATTTCCTCTCTGGAAATGTTTCTCCTTCTTGCTACTTCTAATGCTTTCATGCAAATGCTGTATATAAAAACTCTGAAACCCTTGTTATGATTTATTACGAAGTAGACAACTTCATCGTTGATTTCGGGATGGTGCCCCATGTGTGATCCACGGAAATATTTTCTTGTGGAATTACAAGATCCTTCATACCTCTCCAATGCTGTACATTTGCTTCACATATTGAATAACATTGTGCAGTTTCACTGTTGTTCGTTTGTTCAGCAAGATGAATCACTTGCAATTTAAGGTTTGCATATTAACTTTTACATCGTTCCACATTTCTGGTAAGTTCTACAATTCCTCTTTTCTCCACGTGGTGGGCCATTGCCACACTAATGTATCAGCACACAGCTACACAACACAACCACCAAGCCCGAACACTTCTACCAAACGACTACTAAAGTCGCTGTACTCGGGGACGGAAGGCTCGTGGCCAATGAGAGAGATACTCGTAGGCCATGAGCCTTCCTCCTGGCCTACAAGTCTCTCTCGTTGGTCACAAGGAATGCTTTGGCGACGTCACAGCTGTTACAACACTGCTAACTGACGCTAAAGAAAAACTTAAATCCTATCTAACGCTTCTGTGTAACGGCTTGGGAAATTATTCTACATTTTATTACTTCAATTATAAATACATCCAATAATAATAAAAAAGGGAAATTTCTATTACAAATTACTTTTCTTTGTGAAGATAACTTGTATTATACCAGGAACAACATAATACCGTTAATATTGCGTTTTCTTCATACACAAATGTTTCATCATATGCCAATATAAGACGACCCCTGATTTTTAAAGAATGAAAACAGGAAGAAATCCTCGTCTTATATTCGGGTAAATACGGTAATTAACTTCAATATTAAATTGCGAATCTCTCTGTGTAGGCACAATCCGTGATAGTTCAATAACTCCATATTTTTTTAATGAGATATTTAGGGGAAGAAACCTTTTCTTGTCACTACATATAAATATGTATTCAGTATTGTCACTTAACCCCTAAAGTAAGTACTAAGTGTTATAACAATTTCACAGAATGTGCTTGTTAGATAAACATAGTTGTTGATTTGTTCTTGTGTAATTTTCTTCAGTACATGTAATCATCATAATAATAACCATGCTTTTTTTGACTGATGACCTTACTTCCCCCTATCTTGAGCAATAAAAGTCTCACAGCAAGCACTGATCGTGTTCCAAACATTAAAACATCATTGGAAATAGAAGCTAGTTAAAACTAGATGCTTTCAAAGTGGAGAACTCTTCGAGTTTATTCTCAATACTATCTAAAGAAATGCCTGAGGCAGATTCAAGTTCTTCACGGGAGGCACCTCAAACTCCTGAGAAAAATAAGAGGATGTATACCAGTGATGAACACAAAATTATTGAAAAAGTTGTGTTTGCACATATAATGGAAAAGGGAACAATGTTTTGTTGTATCCTTTGAGGAATTCTATAGATCGGCCTTCTGCAGAAACTAGAGCTAGTATTTCAACAAAACATAGAAGGAAGACTGAAAAAGTCAATGACCATTTACAATCCACAGAAATGCTCGGTATAAAAGGTAACATCCAAGGAAACCAATTAATCATACTCTATGTAATTATATTTTTTTCATACTATTTCCACCAACTTTACACATATCCGATTCATTATATAATTTAACGTAAGTTACCCATTGTTATTTTAAATGTAAATTTTGTTAATTTTCATTCATTTTGTATTTTAAATTTGATACTTTCTATTCATTCTTTATTTTAAAAGTAATGCTATTTTCGAGGAAAATTGTGAAGTGTGGGTTATCAGGTCTCGTGCACAGGACTATGTCCTCGGTGATATATATATATATATATATATATATATATATCTTGTATTTTCTTAAGCCTGAATAAAAAGTATTGTATTGTATTGTAATATAATAGGGCACTTCAGGCAAACAAACTCAATACGCTTCCCAAGTCAAGAAATCAATCAGTCATGCATTACAAAGTGTTAGGGGCAATTTTAAATACAAATACGAGATAGAACATTTCTATCAAAGATGTACTGAGAGTAAAAGTTAATTAAGCTATAATGAAAAATTTGTGATTTTTAGACACCTCCTTTTGTATCTTGGTAATTTTGGCAAGAATGCTTGTCAAAATTAGTAAAGATTACACAAGCCAACAGCTTAAAAACATTTTAATTCACCTGCTGTTGCCCAACCCAGAGTGGTGACCTAGCCGGACAAGTAGCAGGTTTGACTTTGATTTTCCAGAGATTGGCAAAAAATATTTCAAATACTCCAGTGTACGACTTTGTTACTAAACCCCCACTCCTCCGGCATTTTTTAATCCATTGGTCAAGAAAAGTTGCGCAGTTATTACTTGTTTGAGTCTTTGTTGTAATAAAGTGCTAGGTCCCAATCTTCTTTGTTTCATAAATTTAACAACAATGGCCTGTGTGTGGATGTTTAGGATGAGTAATTAAAATATAAGTGAAATACGTTTCATGTTCTAATCAATTCATTAGAGCCACCCTGTCACCAATTTGGATTATTAATTATGTGGAACATGTTCTGCACAATAAATGTAATTTATGGTGTACCATGTAATAGGAATGTTTTATGCTTCAAATTGTTGAAAGCATTAGAAACCCTAATTGGGAATAGAATATGGGTCTTCTGGTTTACCTAGGTTGCTTCAACCACTGAGCTACATCATGGATGACATTTTCTTTACAGAACACATTTCCAACATCATTGATCATTCATATTAGTGACATGGTGATAGTGAGTATTAAAGAAATGTGCTCA